ACTAATTTATAAAAAAATATCGATGTAATACTAAGAAAACCTTGTAATTATTGTTGGTGAAAATATATATATATATGGTTTAACTCACTTTATAAAATTGTCTCTATTTTGGTCCAAATTTTCGGATCTCAAAATTTGTATATCAGTTAGTTCGTAATAAAAGATGGAAGATTCTTAAAATCTTAAACATATCAACTTTGTTTTGGATGATAGTAATTTAAATAACAAGTATAGAGACTCTACATTATTGTATATACTTGACGTACACTCTAACGTCATTGTATAGTATTTTGAATCATAATATATTCTGAATTTAAATTAGAGATTTGAACAAAAACATCATATGATATCTTTTAACTACAAAATCATAAAAAAACACTTACGTCATCAAGTATTATGAATTTAAAATTACAATAAATTACAAATAATTTAAATCATTCATGTCATTATGATCATTCAAAGGAACTAGAATATAAGGAAGTCTCTTTCAATATGATCATTCAAAGGAACTAGATATAGAAGTCTTTCAAATATTTCATTTCATTATAATCATATGACTACAAAACTTTACATAAAGTCATATCATTTGGAATTTGAAAAAACAAAAATCAAATTACGGGACCCAGGCTCATGGCATTCACGACGAGATTAACATACACTGAAACAACTATTTAACTTTCAATATCAATGACAATGTTTTGATACCCAGGCTACAGAAGGTTGAACAGGACTCGGGGCCTTCGTCGGGCATTATCACTTTAACTATTACCTTAAACCTTAGAATTATGGATGCGATCAGCGAGCATAGACAAATATGTTGGGGCTTTTGAAGAGGAAGTGCCAGTGAGTCCAAAAGTAGTGAAGGGAGTGATTTCTGGAGAGTGAATCAACGAAAGACAAAAAAATTCGGTCAAAACAACGACATGTTGTTGGCAATTGGCAGAGCGAACAGATAGGGTTGTGATGGGTTTGGTCAAGAGCTGAGGGAATGTTTCGAGTGATGGGAGTGTTGTCGTCGTCAGAAATAGCCATTTTTGCCTGAGTTGTGACGTTAGCAGTGGTGTTTGGGGTGTTTTTGCAAGATTTAAAACTTATAGACTTATAGTAATTTTTAGAATTTCAAACCTTTGACACTAGTTTGACTGACCGTAACCCGGACCCGTCCTTGTGGGTTTATCTCGAGTCATTATTAAAACATTGATCAATATCTCTATACAATTTCCCTTATTAATACGTTATCAACACACCCACCATTTAGATTCAAGAAATTGATATAGATTCAATGAAGAATGCTTTACCATTAACCATGCACAAGTTTTTCTTTTAATGTCAAATACAACATCTCCTCCCAAGGTTCTTCAATTTCCTTTTTTCCCCCTTAATTATTTATAGGGCAATTATGGAATCTCGTATATCAATTTACATATTATTTTTAAATTTCTAAACCATTTAATGTTCATTGTTATTGTTCTGTCTATGGGTGTAGATGTCTTTTTGTAAAATATGGGAGGTAAAAGTAATTGACCTTTCTTTTATTATTTCCTATGCATCATGGACACATTTTCCACGATGTAGGGTAATATGGTTAAAAAGAGCTTGCATGTCATTACATTTTTTTCCCCATGTTTGTATTGTTAATTAAATTCTTTTACTCCACACATGCAAACATAATGTTCATTCAATGAAGTAATTATTTTTCTCTTTTTCTTATATAAATTTAAAATATATTTTATGAATTGATTAAATATTTATTTGTCGAGATCAATGTAACTCATATAATTTAATACATAAAAAAAGCACAATTTAAATATAATTTTGTTGTGCGGAAAAGATCGCTAGCCAAATTGGTTAAAGAGCTTAGAGTATGTCTCCACATATTATGTATTGAGCTCTGGAACGGAAATAGGCCAGAAAGCACGAACAATCAACGAATGTCCTTGGACACAACGTTTGTGAACTGGGAAGGAAGCCCATTATATGAATCATCCCTTCGTAGCAAGACCATTTTACCAGTGTACGTGCCTACCCGACGGTGGTAAACCACCAAGCAAGCTCCACTTGCCTTTCATGCAGTGAAGTCAACAAAAACCCTGTCAAGCACTAATGTCAAGGGAAAAGCCTATCATCCCCATCATTTTGCCGTTGAGGTGCATGTGAGCCTTGGCGCCATTTAGACCATGACGACCGATTGGTTTACCTATCATCAACACACCCCCAGAGTGTCATATAAAATAGAAGGCTGCCGAATTAAAAAAAGTTAGACAAGAAGAAGGGAGAGTGAAGAGGAAAGAAGCATGGAAACGCTTAGGAGAACCTTTAGACCTAGTGAGAAAATTCAATCCATTTTTGTTCAATCTGTGTTCATATATGAATGGAATTAATGGATGTAGCTTGTTTGTTTTCCGGCCAAACCACTTTAAAAGGTTTGTTCTTCCTATTTTCGGGACATCTGTCTCTATCTCACCCACTCATGCATAGACATATTTTTCTTCATTGACCCCGGAGTTACGCACCCATCTTCTAGGTTCTATCGAGTCAACCGAATATCTTCGATTGATGGGATCGTCATCGATATTCTGGTCGGTGTAGATTTTGCATCAACAAATTTTAACTATTTAAATATATTAATCATATACTAGTTTAAAATTTGTTTCAAAACTTCTATAAAAAAGATGGCCCTTAAATTGTTTCTATAAAAGGGTAGATTCAACCATTTTTTTATTTTAAAAAAATTGGCTAAAAGTAAAATTAATTAACTTTGAAAATGGCACAAATTAAAGAGTGTCAAAACATAAAATTCATAGATTTAGTGGGTTAAAATTCTGTCAAAATTATTATTAAAATATCTGATCTTTTTATAAAGAATGTAAAAGGATCAAGAACCCAACATATTTACAAATAGTTTGATACAATTTTTTAGATTTTAAATAAATAAATCTAGAATTTACTTATAATAGAATTTACTTTTATGTAATTTTTTTAGATTTTAAATATATATTCTCCTGCTAATTTATTTTGTCTGATTTTTTGTATGTAATGAAACAACGAGGTCCTCTGTATATTATAAAAAATCATTTGGAGTATACTTGTTTTGGTTTTTTCCCTTTTTACCCCCAACAATTGAATCAACATACCATTAAGCATTGTGATTACTAATGAAGTGTAAAAGGGTAAATATCTGTGTTAACGAGTATATAAGAAAACCTTGTAATTATTGTTGGTGAATATATATATATATATATATATGGTTAAATCATTTTCATAAAATTGTCTCTATTTGGTTAAATTTTTGGACCTCAAAATTTGTATATACAATTATTCATAATAAAAGATGGAAGATTCTTAAAATCTTGAACATATCAACTTGTTTTGGCATGATAGTAATTGAAATAACAAGTTAGAGACTCTAACATTATTGTATATACTGTGACGTACACTCTAACGTCACTGCATATGTACTCTGATGTCATAGTATATTCTGATTTAAATTAGAGATTTGGAAGAACAGAACATCAACTGATTATTTTAACTACAAAATTTCACAACAAACACTTACGTCATTATTGATATATAAATCTGCACAACAGATAATCCGATTGACCCTGTCGGAACCGAAATGATGTGCGCGTGATTTAATAAAAAAAAAAAAGGGTTATATGATAAGTCAAGAAATATCTATTGCCTCCTCAATTATCTTTGAAAAGGCTACATAAAATATTTTTGATTGGTAATCAAGAGAGAAGGTAGGAAGGCAAAGATAGTACTCAAGTTCATTAAAGAGCTTAAACCTAGGCAAGGATAATTAAATCCACAATTATACCCCATTATCTGCCAGCCAAAAGTAGCCCAGCTTATTGCTCGGAGCATTGCTAAGCTACTATAATATAGATAATAATCAGACAGTGGTTAGGAAATTTCTTCATCATCAAAACATTATCCAGTATCATGTGGAAAAAGTTATGTCCAACTGAAGGCACAAAAACTGCCACAAGAGACAGGAATGGAAGGATATATATCTAACTACAAAACTTGAATCAAATTTGTACTACTTATTAAAGAGTTTTAACTTAACAATCACATAAAACTCAAAGCCCTTGTAGATTAGTAGTGCTATATAGAGGTATAAGGAAAGGACAAAATGCGAAGTCAAAGTATCGGCAAGCCATGCTCACAAGATAGAAGAGAACTCTTGATATACACAATAGTGAAATAGAAGCATTCTAAATATTATTATTATTCTATGGAAGGGAACCAAAGTGAAGTAAAAAATCAGGGAGTTCAGGTGAGCAAGATATAAAGTAGGGTCATTCTTAAGATTTGAAAAGAATATTTTTAACAGTTTTAAGATATATAAAAGGGTGACACATCAAAATAAACAAAGTACCATACGACATGGGTTGAAGAGTTACAACATAATGACTGGATCCAGGTCATTAAGTCTCGGGGGCAATAAAGAAAGCTTATGTGAGAAGACGAGATAGGAATAGAAAGATCAAATATATAAAATATTCAGAAAAGATTTGAGAATTCCAAAGTTAAAACTTCATATAAAGGTTACGAAAATAGTACATTCACAATGCAAGAATACATGTGTAGCTTTATGCAAATTTCAAAATCTGATTACCCTTGATTTTCTCAATAAAATGTGTAAATAGATACAGACAAGAAGCAACCTTAGTGTTGAAACTGAAGACTATCTAATATTTAAATCAAGGAAGCATCTTCTTCAGTAAAATAATAATAAAGCTTCAGATTCTTAGGTAAAGTCTTACTATTTTTTAACAAGAGAAATCATTTTAAAGAAAGTGTCTGTCGAGTAGTGTAAGCAAATTAAATTATATGAAGCACAAGTCAATGCAGGTTTGGACTAGGAGTCCACAAGAATGTAACTTCACATTGATATAATCTCAACCAAACTCAATAATTACAGATATATCAACAATAGAAATGAAAGCTCAATAAATTACGCAAACAACTAAAGCATTCAAAATAGCCATTACCTTGGAATAATTATTCGGCATATCTTGCACAACACAGCCAGAAGGAAGCCTTCGGCAGGTCAAATATGGATCCCCGTTTGGACCGTCTTGGTTTGTGTTGATAGACACATCAACCACAGCCCAAACACCCTCAGCATGCTGCTTGCAGAACCGGAGAAACTTCACTTGGCGGACAGGAACTAGAGGTGAAAGTACTTGGAACTCAGCAAGCATCTACAAAGTATGAAATTCATCCTTAGGTTCATCAAAATTAGTAGCTAAAGAAACGGAAAAGATTGCTTAGGAACAAACCACTTGCAGAGCACCATTTTTGGTTCCAGCCACACCGCTGGAAATCATATCAGTGGTGACAGCTCCAGAAATCATACATGGGAACGTATCTACCCATCGATTCTACACAAAGAAAAGTGATCAATCAATCATCTATATACTGAACTTCAAGCTAAACACAACAAATCAACAAATAGAAACAATTTGCTGTGACTAAAAGCAGTGTCTAAAGAAAAAACAAATATTATTTACAATGGTACAAGGGGTTCAGATAGCATACCGCGTCCATTAAAGTCTCTACAAGAGCCAAGCTATTGACAATTACAATACCAGTTTCCCTTGAAGCCTCAGTCACAAAGCCATTTGGTTTCAGGCCCATACTAGATGGAAATGTTCTCATATACTCCTCCTGGTTCAGGACATCCCTTCCCCCATCCACACTTTTGACCCAAATAGGACTATCTGCCTGAGCCATCTTAATCAATTCATCCATAGCTGCCAATGCAAGATCAACAAGCATATTTCTCTCATATGGCATTTCATTTCCCATCATGCCTGCTATTGGTGGTTTCATAAAAGGCCCTTCAAAAAACTCATGTCCTGTTAACATCGGGGAACCTGGAATACTTGGCAAGCCACCTAAACCATTTCTTCCCACGGCAAGTTCCAAACTGGAGTTTAAGAATTGAGGGACAGGATTGGCCGAGGATGTAAGAGGCCTGCCCAGGAACTTGTTAGCCAAGATGCAAATCCGACCCAATTCGTCCCGTAATCGAGCATTCTCAATCCTAAGTTGCTGCAGCTCATAATTGGACACATTACCAGGCACAGCCGGACCACCACAATTGTTGCATACTGGATTTTTCACTGCTTCCTTCAACATATCATTCTCAGCTCTAAGCTTATCATGTTCTTGCCGAAGCATTACATTCTCATGCCTTTCCATTTGGGTCTGATAAAATAAAATAAAAATCAATAATGATTGTAATCAATTTATGATGAAAAAGTTCAAATAAAAGATCAAAGAGTGAAACATCTTCATCCATTTTACCTTCATCTGGGTTCTCCTATTCTGAAACCAGAACTTGATTTGCTTGGTCTCTAAGTTAAGCCTTCTACTGAGTTCCAACCTTTGTTTCTCATCGGGGTGAGGACACTCCTTAAAGAAACTGAAACACAACCAAAAAGGAGAAAACGAATAACTCCAATCAACAAATTAACCCGTCAATTAGAGAACGGAATATATACAAAAAATATAAAAGAAGATGACAAAAAGGCGTACGCTTCAAGCTCTTGTATTTGATATGGAGTGTGCCTGTGATACTTTTTCTTCCTTGGCGGTCCCTCTTCATTGGCTTCTTGATCATCACCAGATGCACCACCTTCAATATTATCACTTCCAGACCTGCTCTCGTACTCATCCTCCCTAATCCTTCCCACTATACTAGGATCAAAATGTTCCCCCATCAGATCCATCTCAGCAACACCACCCATTCTATTTTTCTGCACCAAACCCATAAAAAACAACACGGATGTTAGAAGAAAAAAAAAACAAGATCAAAAAGTAACAACACCAATTAAAAAAAAAAAAAAAAGCATACAACGGAGAGAGAAAGGGGAAATTGAGCAATGGCATCAGTTGGCATGTTGTGACCGTGTGGAAGAAATTCAGCCCCAGTCTTTGCACCCATATCATCACTACTACCTCTAGGACTGTTGATTAAACCCCCAAAACTCATGAAAATGGAAAAGATAGATTACAACTTTTTTATCTCTCCCTGACAGAGTGCTTTGTCTAGGTTCTTTGAAGTTGGCCACTATCACTTTCAAATAAATAAATTAAAAAAACGATTAGATTTTGTTGCTCTTTCTGGTCTATCAAGTTTTGACCTTTAAGTTCTTCCCAGATTGCGCAAAGAATACAAAGTTTTATATATATTTTTTTCAATAGCGCCAAAATGAAAAAGCTGTCTCATTGTCAACGCCCATGCACAACCGAACACACTCTCTCACCCTAGAAAACTCTATCGGACTCTTGAAAAATCAGTTTCAGATACAGAGAACGATACGAGGAAACATGCCAAGAAATAGCCTTTTCAATTCACAGCTTACACATCTCTTTCTCAACCCAGAACGAGATAAAACCTCTTAAAACACCGAATAAGAAAGAAACCCTAATCTTCCATCAACCTATTATCTAGACAGACAACAAGCTTGACCAATCGTTTGTCAGTTTTGAGAAAAAAGGGTCCAAAAAGGAGAAAACGGAAAGGGCTTAAAAGGATGCATGGAAAAAGCAAACCAAACAAACAAAAAGCTGAAACTTTATATCTCTCTCTCTCTCCCCATTCACACTGTGCACTTAAAGACTTTTAAAATGTAACACCAACCAAATCGCCAAAAAGACCCAGTTGACCTCTCTCAGTCTTTCTCTCACTTTCACTCTCCCTTGAAATATCAGAGAGAAAGAAGGAGAAGTAAGAAAGAAAGTTGGATGGTAATAATCAAAACAAAACCAAACCCAGTACGGAGAAAAAGGTGTACCTTTATAATTTGACAGAAGGCAGGGGTCTTTCTGTATATTCAGTACACGGAGAAATAGATACAGATAAGATCTTCACTCTTACTGTTGGGATCTGTAGAAGAGTAAAGGACAGAAATTATATTATTATTATTAGGCATAAATGTGTGTGATGAAATATATAAACAAATAAAATATGGTTTAGACTGGAGCTGACTTCAAATAAATGGGAAACTCAAAAATAAAATAAAAAATCTATCAGTCAAATGGGTTCTTGTTACTTAAACTTTATTAAAAAAAATTAAACCTACTGTAATGAAAATGATCTCTTTTCTCTATCACTGTCTTCTTCAATGGCTTCCTTCTTCTAAATTCTCCATTGCATGTACCATCAAAACTATGTAATAATATTTTTTTTTTCCTTTGAAATCTGAATGAAATATCAATTATGGTATAAGAAGAGTTATATAGAGAGAGAAAATATATGTGGGGTCCACTTTCTCTTCTAAAATAAGGTTTCGTGATGTCCGCCCACGCGAGTACTGGCGCGTGCCTGTTCTTCTCATTACTTTAGTTGGTTGCGCCATGTTGTTATTACCAATAAGTACACTCAACTCATCCAATTATGGTACACGCTTGTTTTTGGTAAAATTTTATAATTTTCTTTTTAGGAAACAATTTCATAAATGAAACTACCAATATTATATTTAATAGGTAATTATATAATATGAATAATTAATTTTAAAAAATAATTTTATTCTTACAATACAAACACAACTAATTTCTTGTAAGGAAACCACAGTTAGGACTTAGGAAGCCAGCCAGGGTTAAAAAGGTAATTTAAAGTTTGTTGTAATCTCCCGTAGAAAGTAAAAAGGGACATCACTCTTGTTTTTTTCCTTACAAAAGTGGGTTGACTCTTGAATCTTGATTCTGTCACGCCCTCGTGTCCCTATCACTTATCTAAATTTAAAATTAATTGTTATTTAGTCTTTTTAATATTTATTTAAAGTTTCTCTGAACTTCCATTAAATTTTCATCATTTTATTTGATATGGATTCCCCACAGATGTTCAACTATTATGCTGCAGTTACATTTCATTTTTTTTTTTTTAAATATAAATATATTACTCCTGCTAATTTTATTTTGTCTGATTTTGTAGCACGTAATGAAACAACGAGGGTCCTCTTTGTAATTTTTAAAAAACTTTTGAAGTATACTTGTTTTGGTTTTTCCTCTTTTTACCCCCAAAATGGAATTAACAAACCATTAAGCATTGTGATTACTAATTTATAAAAAAATATCGATGTTAATACTAAGAAAACCTTGTAATTATTGTTGGTGAAAAAAAAAATTATATATATATATATGGTTTAACTCACTTTCATAAAATTGTCTCTATTTTGGTCCAAATTTTTCGGATCTCAAAATTTGTATATACAGTTAGTTATTCGTAATAAAAGATGGAAGATTCTTAAAATCTTGAACATATCAACTTTGTTTTGGCATGATAGTAATTTAAATAACAAGTATAGAGACTCTAACATTAACATTATTGTATATACTGTGACGTACACTCTAACGTCATTGCATATGTATTCTGAGGTCATAATATATTCATGAATTTAAATTAGAGATTTGAAACAAAACATCATATGATTATACTTTTAACTACAAAATTTCATAACAAAACACTTACGTCATCAAGTATTTATGAATTTAAATCTACAATAAATTACAAATAATTTAAATTCATTCAATATTTGTCATTATGATCATTCAAAGGGAACTAGAATATAAGGAAGTCTCTTTCAAATATTTTCATTTCATTATAATCATACTGAACTACAAAACTTTACATAAAGTCATATCATTTGGAATTTGAAAAATAAAATAAAATAAAATTACGGTACCCAAGGCTTCATGGCATTCACGATGAGATTAACATAACACTGAAACAACTATTTAACTTGTCAAATATCAATGACAATGTTTTGATACCCAAGCTGACCCAGAAGGTTGAATCAGGACTCGAGGCCTTTGTCGGTCAGGTTATCACTTTTAACTATTCACCTTAAACCTTAGAATTATGGATTGCGATCAGCGAGCATACGACAAAATTTATGTTGGGGCTTTTGAAGAGGGATTGCCAGTGAGTCCAAAGGTAGTGAAGGGAGTGATTTCTGGTGAGTGAATGAACCAGAAAGACAAAAATCAATCGGTCAAAACAACGACATGTTGTAGGCAATTGGCAGGACGAACAAGATAGGGTTGTGATGGGTTTTGATCAAGAAGCTGAGGGGAATGTTTTCGAGGTGATGGGGAGTGTTGTCGTCGTCAGAAATATGCCATATTTTGCCTGAGTTGTTGACGTTAGCAGTGGTGTTTGGGGTGTTTTTGCAAGATTTAAAACTTATAAAGACTTATAGTAATTTTTAGAATTTCAAACCTTTGAACACTAGTTTGACCCACCGTTAACCCGGGACCCGTCCACTTTGTTGGGTTTCATCTCGAGTCAATTATTAAAACATTGATCAATATCTCTATATCAATTTCCGCTTAATATTAATACGTTATCAACACTACCACCATTTATGGATTCACGAAAAATTGATATATGATTCAATGAAGAATGCTTTACCATTAACCATGCACAAGTTATTTTTCTTTTTAATGTCAAATACATCTCCTCCTCCCAAGGTTCTTCAATTTCCTTTTTTCCCCCTTAATTTATTTATAGGGCAATTATGGAATCTCGTATATCAATTTACATATTATTTTTAAATTATTCTAAACCATTTAATGTTCATTGTTATTGTTCTAGTCTATGGGTGTAGATGTCTTTTTGTAAAATATAGAGGAGGTACAAGTAATTGGCCATTTCTTTTATTATTTCCTATGCATCATGAACACATTTTCCACAATGTAGAGGTAATATGGTTAAAAAGAGCTTGCATGTCATTACATTTTTTTCCCCATAAGTTTGTATTGTTTTAATTAAATTCTTTTACTCCACACATGCAAACATAATGTTCATTCAATGAAGTAATTATTTTTCTCTTTTTTTCTTATATAAATATTTAAAATAATATTTTAGTGAATTGATTAACATATTTTATTGGTCGAGATCAATGTAACTCATATAATTTATATACATTAAAAAAAAGCACAATTTAAATATAATTTTGTTGTGCGAAAAAGATCGCTAGCCAGAAATTGGTTAAAGAGCTTAGAGTATGTCTCCACATATGGATGTATTGAGCTCAGGAACGGAAATAGACCAAGAAAGCACGAACAATCAACGAATGTCTCTGGACACAACGTTTGGTGAGCTGGGCAAGGAAGCCCATTATATGAATCATCCCTTCGCTCAGCAAGACCATTTTACCATGTGTATGCTGCCTACGCCGATCGGTGGTAAACAACCAAGCAAGCTCCACTTGCCTTTCATGTAGTGAAGTCAACAAAAACCCTGTCAAGCACCTAATGTCAAGGGAAAAGCCTATCATCACCATCATTTTGCCGTTGAGGTGCATGTGAGCCTGTGGCCGCCATTTAGACCATGACGACCCGATTGGTTTACCTATCATCATCACACCCTCAGAGTGTCATATAAATAGAAAGGCTGGCCGAATTAAAAAAAGTTAGACAAGAAGGAAGGGAGAGTGAAGAGGAAAGAAGGCATGGAAACGCTTAGGAGAACCCTTTAGACCTAGTGAGAAAATTCAATCCATTTTTGTTCAATCTGTGTTCATATATGAATGGAATACTAATGGATGTAGGCTTTGTTTGTTTTCCGGCCAAACCACTTTAAAAGGTCTTGTTCTTACCTCATTTTCTGGGACATCTGTCTCTATCTCATCCACCGTCATGCATAGACATATTTTTCTTCATTGACCCCCCGGAGTTACGCACCCATCTTTCTAGGTTCTATCGCAGTCAACCGAATATCTCTGATTGATGCGGATCCTTGCATCGATATCTTGGTCGATGTAGATTTTCGCATCAACAAATTTTAACTATTTAAATATATTAATCATATACTAGTTTAAAATTTGTTTCAAAACTTCTATGAAAAAAGATAGGCCCTTAAATTGTTTCTATAAAGAGGGTAGATTCAAGCACTTTTTTTATTTAAAAAAAAAAATTAGGCTAAAAGTAAAATTAATTTAACTTTGAAAATGGCACAACTTATAAGCAGTGTCAAAACATAAAATTCATAGATTTAGTGGTTAAAACTTCTGTCAAAATTATTATTAAAATATCTGATCTTTTTATAAAGAACTGTAAAAAGGATCAAGAACCCAACATAGTTTACAAATAGTTTGATACAATTTTTTAGATTTTAAATTAAAATTAAATCTAGAATTTACTTATTAATATGAATTTACTTTTATGTAATTTTTTTAGATTTTAAATATATATTACTCCTGCTAATTTTATTTTGTCTGATTTTTTGGTATGTAATGAAACAACGAGGTCCTCTCTGTAACTTATAAAAAATTCATTTGGAGTATACTTGTTTTGGTTTTTTCCCTTTTTACCCCCAACAATTGAATCAACATACCATTAAGCATTGTGATTACTAATGAAGTGTAAAAGGGTAAATATCTGTGTTAACGATTAATATTAAGAAAACCTTGTAATTATTGTTGGTGAATATATATATATATATATATGGTTTAACTCATTTTCATAAAATTGTCTCTATGTTGGTTGAAATTTTTGGGACCTCAAAATTTGTATATACAATTATTCATAATAAAAGATGGAAGATTCTTAAAGTCTTGAACATATCAACTTTGTTTTGGCATGATAGTAATTGAAATAACAAGTATAGAGACTCTAACATTAACATTATTGTATATACTGTGACGTACACTCTAACGTCACTGTATATGTACTCTGATGTCATAGTATATTCATGAATTTAAATTAGAGATTTGGAACAGAACATCACATGATTATATTTTTAACTACAAAATTTCACAACAAAACACTTACGTCATTATTGATATAGAAATCTGCACCAACTAGATAATTCCGATTGACCCTGCTGGAACCGAAATGATGTGCACGTGATTTAATGAAAATCAGCAATGAACAAAAAGGAAAGAGTCATAAATAAGAACACAAGATAATTTTTAAAGTGGTTCGATAAGTTAGAACTTGAGTCTATGTCCATTGTTATTTGTATTTGCTCTGAGAGGTTACAGTAGTAATTCTAGGAATATTTTCCTCATCATTTGGGGGGGTTTATATACAAAGTTTGTACAAAGGAAAAAAGCGAAATTAAAGAGATTACAATTAAATTAAAATGCAACTCCGATATTCTCGCGATTGGGCGTTGTGATTGTGCAAAGATTGTTGTCAATATGATCATCCCTGATATATCTAGGATCTGAAGTTATCTGGGAATTGGTTGAATGATCATTCGGATTATTCGCGGCTAGCTTGTGCTAGGTCGAGCTATATCTCGACGAGTTATGTTGGGTCGAACAATCAGTAGAGTTGAGCTAGTTTTGGATCGAATTATATCCTCGCGATTCTCCAAGTTTGGTGGAAAAATCACACACAACATTTATGATTTAAATCTACAATAAATTACAGATAATTTAAATTCATTAAATATTTGTCATTATGATCATTCAAGGGGAACTAGAATATAAGGAAGTTTTTGTCACATATTTTCATTTCATTATAATAATTTGTGACCAACCTACAAAATTTTACATAAAGTCATGTCATTTGGAATTTAAAAAAAAATAAAATTACAATACCCAAGACTTTATGGCATTCACGATGAGATTAACATAACATTGATACAACTATTTAACTTGTCGAATATCAATATCAGTGTTTTGATACCCTACCCAGCCTGGCCTGTTAAACCGGTTGAGCCGAGACTCTACTTGGGCCCTTCGTCGGGTGGGGTTATCACTTTCAACTATTCACCCTAATCCTAGAATTATGGACGACGATCAGCGAACATATGATGACAATTTTGTAGGAGCTTTTGGAGAGGGAGTTTCGGTGAGTCCAAAGGTGGTGAAGGGAGTGATTTCTGGTGAGTGAATTGACTAAAAAACGCAAAAATCAATCGGCCAAAATAGTGGCCTGTTGCCAACAATTGGCAGAACAAACAGGAGAGGGGTGGACGGGTTTTGGTCTGGAGGTTGAGGGGCATGTTTTCATGGTGATGGAGAGTATTGTCGTTGTTAGATATAGGCCCTATTTGGCATGGTTTGTCGACACTGACGGTGGTGTTTAGGGTGTTTTTGCAAGATTTCAAACTTGTAAGGACTTATAATAATTTTTCGAGGTATTTTTGTTGAATTTCAAATCTTTGGACATAGATTTGACCCATCTGTCAAACCGGTTCAATCGATCAACCCATAACTTGACCACTTTGTCGGGTTTCACCATGGGTTAGTTATTAAAACATTGATCAATATCACTATACCCATTTTTGCTTAACATTAGTACGTTATCAACACCATCACCATTTCTGGACTCGCGAAAAATTGATTCAATGAAGCACGCTTTATCATTAACCATGCACTTATTTTTCTTTTTAATGTCAACTACAAGCATCTCCTCCCAAGGTTCTTCAATTTCCTTTTTTTTTTCCTTAATTTATTTATAGGGCAATTATGGAATCTCGTATATCAATTTACATATTATTTTTAAATTATTCTAAACCATTTAATGTTCATTGTTATTGTTCTAGTCTATGGGTGTAGATGTCTTTTTGTAAAATATTGGGGAGGTCCAAGTTATTGGCCTTTTCTTTTATTATTTCCTATGCATCATGAATATATTTTCCACATTGTAGGAGTGATATCGTTAAAAAGAGCTTGCATGTCATTACATTTTTTCCCCATAAGTTTTAATTAAATGGGTTTTCTTTTACTCCACACATGCGAACATACTGTTCATTCAATGAAGTTATTATTTTTATCTTTTTTTCTTATACAAAATTTTAAATACTATTTTAGAGATTTGATTAACATAATTTTATTTTTCAAGATCAATGTATCTCATATAATTTATATACATAAAAAAAATAACACAATTTAAATATGATTTTGTTGTGCGGAAAAGATCGCCAACCAGAAATTGGTTAAAGAGCTTAGAGAACGTCTCCACATATGGATGATATTGAGCCCGGGAATGGAAATAGGCCAAGAAAGCATGAGCAATCGACGAATGTCCGTGGACATAATATCTGGCGAACTAGGCAAGGAGGCCCATTATATGAATCATCCTTTCGCTCAGCAAGACCACTTTACCATGTGTATGATGCCTACCTTGATCGGTGGCAAACAACCAAGCAAGCTTTACGTGCCTTTTATGTAGCGAAGTCAACATAAAGCTTGTCAAGCCCCTAATGTTAGGGGGGAATACCCATCATCACCATCATTTTGCCGTTATGGTGCATGCGAGCCTTTGGCTGCCGTTTAGATCGTATCGACCTAATTGACGTAATTGTCATCACCACACCCTCAAAGCGTCGTATAAATAGAAAGGCTGGCCAAATAAATAGAGATAGATAACAAGGAAAGGAGAGTGACGAAGAAATAAGTCATGGAAATGCTTTGAAAGATCCTCTAGACCGAGTGAGAAAATTCAATCCATTGTTGTTCAATTTGTGTTCATATATGAATGGAAGACCAGTGGATGTAGGCTTTGTTTGTTTTCCGGCCGAACCACTTCAAAAGGTCCTATTCTTGCCTCATTTTTCTAGGATACTTGTCTCTATCTCATCCTTCGTCATGCATGGACATACTTCACTGACCCCCCGAAGTCACACACCCATCTTGTGCGGTTCCATCGCAGTCAACCGAGTATCTCTAGCTGATGTGGATCCTTGCATTGATATCTTGGTCGGTGCAGATTTTCACATCAACAAATTTTAACAATTTAAATATATTAATCATATTAGTTTAAAATTTGTTTCAAAACTTCAATGAAAAAGAGAGGCTCTTAAATTGTTTTTATAAAGTGGGTAGAATATTCAAGCACTTTTTTTAATAATAAAAAAACAAATTAGGTTAAAAGTAAATTAATTTAACTTTGAAAATGACACTAATCTCAATTATGAAAACTTGAAATTCATAGATTTAGTGATTAAAACTTGTGTCAAAAGACTCAAAACTATTATTGAAGTGTCTAATCTTTTTATAAACAAGTGTGAAAAGGGTCAAGAACCCGATATATTTACACATATTTTAATACAATTTATTAGATTTTAAATTAAAATTAAAGCTAACATGTAATTATTAATATGAATTTATTTTTAAAGTCACATGGAATCTTGATCAAACTAGGCTCTGTTTGTTTCGTCTCTGGGAATACTATTATTAGTGTTCCCAAAAAAGTTAAATAGTAAAATTACAAAAACTCACAATATTATCCAATATTATTCAACTTTTTTTAAACCCCCTAAATTTGTTAATTTAATTAAATACCCCTAAATATTTTTTTTTCAAAATTGCAAAAACACTCCTAAAACCCATATTATATCAGATTCCGGCCACCACTGTCGAAAGTTGGCTGGAATCTGATATAATGGCGCACTCCTGGCTAAATTTGGCCGGTAGTGCGCCGATCTAGCCTTTTCCGGCCAGATCCACAGTGGATCTGGCTGAAAAAGGCCAGATCTTTGGCCGTAATCAGACGTCAACAACGGCCAACATATGGTCGTCGTTGACCATCAACGACGGTCGTATCTTTAACCGTCGTTGACGAGCAAATGCGGCCAGATCTAGCCTTTGCCGGCCAGATCCACTGTGGATCTGGCCGACAAAGGCCATATCGGCGCACGACCGGCAAGATCCAGCCGGTCATGCGCCGATACGGCGACTTCGGCCACCCTCTGATGGTGGTGGGCAGCTGTGATTATTCAATGGGTGGGTTGGAGGTGTTTTTGTTAACTTTCAAAGTTTTATTATAGGGGTGTTTAGTAAATAAATAAACATAAGGGGTATTTTTATTAATTTCTAAATCCTCCATCGTAATACCCATTCAATTCAACTTTTTTTATCTTTTTTCAAAAAACCTTTCTAAAAAATGCAAAAAAGTGAACCAAACGGAACAATAGTATTTTTTAAAATTTCTGCAACTAAACAGTAAACCTGTCCCATTTATATTTCAAAATTATAAATACAAGTATGTAATTTTCTTTTTTAACAATTCATTAAGTAAGATAATCATATGAGTTAATTAATTACATAATGTTCTTCAATTAAATCCACCAACTATAGGATAATAATAACTATTAAATCACTAAAGTAACTTATTGAATGATATTGATTTTACATCCACTAAGAATATTTCTCTAGTCTATACCGATTACTGAAGCATAACCTCAATTTAGGCTGTTACCATTTTAATAAATATCGAAAGTTTGTTTAAGACATATTTTTGACCATGTCAAAACTGGGCCGTAATGGCCATATACCCTTTTAAGAAGACGGCCCGTATAACATTATATAAGAATCCAAAATGAACAAGTTAGGGTTTTCTGTTTTGCTTGAAACTTTGAAGGAGCCACAGGAAGAGAAGCTGCTGCCCCAATGGTTCTCAAGTATGCTCCTCTCCAGTTCTTTTTTACATTATTTTCTATTTTTATGCCCATTTTATATTCTTATGCCGGGGTTGAGGCATTTGGTTCATGGTTTAGTTGTAAAGATATTAGATATGTATGTTTTGAACTCATGATTTCGTTCTTTTCATCACGCGTTTAGCGGCCATCAATCAAATAGACATATGGGTTTGGTGCATTTGGTTTTTTTCTTTTTTTTCTTTTGTAAATTCCCGGCTTTTATAATTTATAATGTTGCTTATTTGAAGAGTATGCGATCTGTTTGTCTGTTGTTTCCTTTATTTTTATTTTTTTGGGTTTAGTATTGCAAGTTATTTACATTTGCGGAATTAGATGGGTGTATGTGTTATTGTGATGTCATTTTACTTTTGGTCGGGTGGGGAACTTGATTTTGATTTGTGGTAATTTTAATTTTTAGTATTTTCTCCACTTTAGTGAATTCAATTTACAGAACTTTAGTGGTTAAGCTTCTGGTTGATTGAGTCTAGTGTTATTAACAATCTCTGAGAGAACTTTTGTAGTGCAGCTATAAAACTTTAAGCATATTGTGCTAGGACAACTTTTTTCCCCCTAAACCTAATCAATTGGGAAAAAAAAAAAAAAAATGAGATGTCTCAATGGCGATAACTTCAAACTTGTACTTGTAGTTGAAGATTTGATATACAATTAAAATAGCTTTGATTTCTGAAATTACGTGTGAGAGCGCAGTTGATGTCATGGGGAGAGATATCATGGTTTGATGGAAATTGGAAATCTGCCACTGTCATGACAATCTGCCACTGTCATGACATTTTAATTGTTATATGAGATTACTTTAGTATGATGAATGAATCATGTCACATAATCATTGCCTGAAATTTTGGGGAAATGAATCATCTACATGTATTGATTATACTATGCAATATTCCAGTTTGAATGGTTTTAAATCCAATGCAAATTTGCTATCATTCCGGGGAGACCCCTGTAATTGTTGTTTGTATTTTGGTAATTGCAGAACTGAGCTATGTCGCTTTAGTGGGGCGAAGATATACCCGGGTAAGGGTATCAGATTTGTTCGCTCTGATTCCCAGGTAATGTGTAACAATACTGTCACTCTGTTTTGTTTGAAGTGCATGTTTCATTTTCTTTTTTTGGGCTGCCTGTGGTACTTGCTTGACCAATTTATTGACTAAATAAAATTTTGTTGATCCATTAAGGTTTTCCTCTTTGCCAATTCTAAATGCAAGAGGTACTTCCACAACCGATTAAAGCCATCTAAGCTTACCTGGACAGCCATGTACAGAAAGCAACATAAGAAGGTGATTATGCCCTATTCCAATATTTTTTTTTTTTTTTTTTTTTGGCAATGAAGCCTTTCTCAATTGAAGGGAATAGGAGGCAACTCATCTGGACAGCTCCGCATATTTACTGTTTATAACTTTTTTCTCTTTCCCTATACTCTTAAAAGGACATAGCTGCTGAAACTGTCAAGAAGAGGCGTCGCACCACAAAAAAACCTTACTCAAGGTCAATAGTTGGTGCTACTATAGAGGTTATACAGAAGAAAAGAAGTGAAAAAGCTGAAGTTCGAGATGCTGCAAGGGAGGCTGCCCTGCGGTATATCTTCATCCTGTTTTAAAATGAAAACTATGTTATTGGCATGAAGACAAATCTTTCCCTGATATTCATGAACTTTTATGCAGTGAAATTAAGGAGAGAATTAAGAAAACCAAGGATGAGAAGAAGGCCAAAAAGTCAGAGGTAATGGCCAAGTCACAAAAGACTCAGAGCAAGGGTAACTTGCCTAAGGGTGGCACATCGAAGGGCCCAAAGCTTGGGGGTGGAGGAGGAAAGCGCTGAAAACATTATTCCTGACGGCAGAGATTTTCTTCACTTACACTTCGGTGATCATTATAAATCTTGGTTTGCATTTGATTTTCCTTTTGTTTTGAGTTACGATTTTGATATTGTTTCTTAAACTATGGCTGCAATGGTGAAAAAGATGAAGTGTAATTTATCACTACATCCATGTACTAAGGAAAATGGGTATTTTTTAGAAGTATTTGTGGTCGAACATTATTGATTTTCATTACTTTTAACACATAACGTTTGGGTACAAGTGGGTGTAGGTGAAGTAAAATGAAGGGAACATCCTAATCAAATTTCTTAACATCACATCAATGAGGTTTTCATATTAAAATCTGTTGAATGATCAAAACTTTAATGTGGCTTTTAAAAATGAGAAATGATGTAGCGGTGGCCATAGAGAAATTTTAGGCCAAAAGATAATGACAAGAAGTTGTGGTTGTGAAGCAAACAACCAACAAGAAGGGGAAAGATGTGAGAGTACCGTGGATTGGAAGTAACAACACCACTTCAACTGTTTCAACCAACTACTACACACAGCAATAAAGAAGAAGCGGAGATACACACGTTTACGCAATATTTTGTTTTTTCCCCCATTTATCAGGCTACTTTAGCCCACCATGGCGTGTTACTGTCAATGCCTCTTCACACATCTACAAGCTTTCCTTTTGCACCCCATTTCGCTTATTACTTTCCTCAGGGATTTTATGATTGTGAAATGAGGATTTGAATCACTAGATCATTCCAAACTCAAAAGTAAAGTAGTTGTAAGGAAGACAGGGAAGATGCTCCGTTTGGTTCATTATTGGATAGTTTTTAGAATAATCTTTTGAAAAAAGTTAAATTAAGTAGGTAATACGATGTAGAATTTTGAAAATTAACATAAATACCCTCTATGTTTATTTATTTACTAAACACCCCTATAATAAAATATTCAAAATTAACAAAAACACCCCCAATCCACTCATAAATACGGACAGCCGACTACCACCGCCGGAGGGTGGTCGGAGTTGCCATATCGGGCTTATGATCGACTCGATCTTGCCGATTGTGCACCAATATGCCTTTTTCGACCAGATCTGCGACTAGATCTGACCATTGACGGCAGCAGATCTGACCGCATTTGATCTTCAACGACGGCCAAAGATATGACCGTCAATGTCATTGATGGTCAACGACAACCATATCTTGGCCGTTGTTGACAACTGTCTACGGCCAAAGATTTAGCCATTGATGGCTAGATCTTTGGCCGTAGATCTGACCTTTTCCGGCCAGTTCAGCGCACTACCGGCCAGATTCAGCCAGTAATGTGCCATTACACCAGATTCCGGTCAGCTTCCGACAGTGGTGGCCGGAATCTGGTAAATTTGGGTTGCTAGGGTGTTTTTGTCAATTTTTTGAATTTTTTTAAGGGTTTGTTTAGTTAAATTAACAAATTTAGGGGGTTTAAAGAAAATTGAAAATTTTAGAATTATATTTTGGAAAATAGGTGAAACAAACTTAGTGTGCGTTTGGTTTATTATTTTGGATAGGATTTTGGGAATAATATTGGATAGTTGAGTAAGGTTATAATTACGAGAATATGATTTGAAGAATATGTGTTTCGTAGAGTATTTTGGCCTTGATATTTGTATTGAATATTTGATTGATATATTTTTTTTATAAATGATTTATTAATATAATATTAATAAATGGTGAAGCACGTTGGTAATGGTGAACTGAGAAAGTGAAACGGTGAAGTGAGAAAGTGGGAAATGTTAGCGAAGAAGCAGTGAAGAAAACTGAGAAAAATAAAAGTAGACTGCAAACCTTCAACGGTAAAAAAAAAAGTCAGAAAAATATTTTGAAGATTGCATTGTGAAAATAAACCACCAGACGTTATTTGTTAAATCCGGTCTAGAATATGAATAAAAATACTGAACCAAACGCAGCCTTAACTTTTTTGGGAAAACTAGAAAATTTTTCCCAATATGTGAACCAAGCGAAGCCTATTTGTTTATGCAATTTTTGAAAGAGTTAACGAACTTTTTCCCACTCAAATAATGGCTTAATAATACTTTCTCATCCATAGATTTTTAAAATACCATTTTACTATATAAATTTATATTCTAATGGTGAACAGAGAGTAAATTCGGTCTAGACTGTTAAAGCTTTTGAAGAGAGGAGACTGGTGAGTCTTTTAGTGGTAGAAGGTTGAATTTTACTGGTTGGGATTGATCGTAATTTGATTTGAGAAAGACGGCTGCACAAACCTTAATCGCTTGATTACTGACTATTAACAAGGTCGGTAAGAAAAGAATTTGAGGGGTTTTGATAAGAAATAGTCAGGGAAGAGAATGGTAGTAATGCATGGTTGTAACGATACCAGAATAAAAAACGGAATATAAATTTGGATAGCAAATTAGTATTTTAAAAATCTTTAAGTAAAAAAGTGCCGCTAAACCATTATTTGAGTAGAAAAAAGTTGTTCGTTTACCCTTTTTAAAATCGCATGTATCACCCAACATATTATTCAGTTTTTAAAACTGGGTATAAAATGGGATACAAGACATAACTAACAAGTTAGATCAATAAAATATAGATAATAAAAAGATAAAGTGCTATTTATATTATTCACCATCAGTCATGATGATCTCTTGGAGAATGGCCATAAGATATTTTTGATACAGTAGCTACCATTAAGATATTTTTGATACAGTAGCTACCATTAACTTAAAAAAGGGGGGGGGGGGGGGTTATTAAAAAGACATTTGAAGTTTACATTTAATTAAAAGGCTATCAAGTTTTGAAATGTTAACTAAATAGCCATATTATTGATTAAGGGTAATTAGTGCTTAATTATGATTAATGTAATCTTTTCAAAATTATCTATATTTCCACAAACCCGAAATTGTTGCAAATAAACCCAAAAACCTTCTTCTTCCTCCCGCCATTAACGCATCTCTACTTGCATCTTCTTCTCTTCTTCTTGGCGTCGTCAACATCTTCTTCTTCCTCTGCATCTTCTTCTTCTTCCTCCTTCCTGTACATCTTCTTCTTCCTCATTCCTCTACATCTTCTGTTCCCCGCCATTAACCCTTTCTTCTTCCTCCACCATTAACATCTTCTCCGCAAAGATCTCCCTCCTCCTCCTCCTGACTTCGCCTAGTATGTGTATCTCTCTTTTACATTTTATATTTAGATTTACAAAGATTTAATAATGGATGGGTGTTGGGTTATGATTTTGATTTAGTTGTTTAGGTTGTTGGCTGTGTTTGATGTAATGTAGGTTGAAAGGAGTGAAATTTGTTGAAAATTTGTTCTGGGTATTTATTCTGGGTATGATGGATCGATTGTAGGTGGAGATGACTAAAAATGTTTTCTGGGCATGATGGATCGCTTAAGCGATCTGGTGTATCGCTTAAGCGATCCGTAGGTCTGGTAATGCAGCAGATAGATCGCTTACGCTCAGGTATGTGGCATAAGATCGCTTAAGCATCCGTTAAAGTCTGTTGTATGGGAGCAGATCGCTTAAGCGATCAGTAAATGATAAGATCGCTTAAGCGATCACGGTTATTTATACTGAATCACTTAAGCGATCAAGTTTATCGCTTAAGTGATCCAGTATAATAACCTGATCGTTCAAGCGATACATCAGACCAAATATACGAATGTGTAGATTCTTTTTAAACATTTGAACCCTTAGTACAGCATTTAAGAATATTGTTTTCTTGCATTACAGGTAGTTGCTATTATTATACATGGGAAAGTTGTTTTGTGTTGATATTTGGTGAGTGGGTGGAGGAAGAAAGTAGGTGGAAGTGGTTGGGAAGAGCAAGAAGTTACACCAATTGCTGTGAGCACAGAGTTGTTTTTTGATAGTTGATTGATAAATAATTAGAAGAGGTAATTTGAGTTGCTCGCGTAGTGATATAGTTGTGAAGTTATGTTTTAGCAGAGCTCCTGAAAATTATAAGGTACCTCCTGCTGTATTAAAGTCGGATGAAATGTGAACTTATTTATGATTGATAGGCCGATGTGGTTCGAGGCCGATTTTAGGGTTTCTTATGTAGAAAAACCGTTGGAAGTTGGTTCCAAGGAAGGGATAACGAGGATGTAGCGGAGATTTGTCTGTTGTAATTTGAACTACGAGGCCATTGATTTGTTAGCTGAAAAATCAAGAGTAGACGGTGAATTGGGTGGTGGGAGGACACTATAGAAGAGGTTGGTGATGGGGGGCAGAATGAAAATGTTGAGGAGGAGGACCCCTAGATGTTCCCACATATGTAGAGATTCCTTTAAATACAGATTATGCAGAAGGCGTAGATTGTGAGGGAGAACACTATGGTCGTTTATGCAGGTTCAAAGGGGCAATTGGAGGTAGTGATCAGCTCATGTCTTTACGGATGGATCGGACTTGCGCATAGGGTATTTATTTGACACAAAGAGGAAGTGGTGAGGAAGCTAAAACTTGTTGCTGTAAAGGTAATTTTGAGTTCATCACCAAAAAGTCAAATTCATTGCTGTGACGGTTGCATGTCGTGACCGAAACTGCAAGTGGCGGGTTTATTGTAGAAGTGTGCGCAGTCGGAAAAGTTTATTCTTAGCACATTACCGTGAGCACACTGTGGTTTGGGACATATTTCAGGTGAGCATCGACAAGCGTCCGCTGATGTTTTGGACAATTTGTCAAAAGTCGATTCGTCGAAGGGAAGGTCCATCTCCTAAAGACATTCAGAGACTTGTGCGCATAGAGTTGGGAGTGTCTGTTAGTACTGAAATGCTGGAAAGGTAGACAACATGCCCAAGATTTTGTGAGGGCACGCTGGAGCGCGGGTACGCAGTATTAGAAGCGTACCGTTATATGCTTGAGTGACAACCAAGGTAGCAAGCGGCTTTGAAGTGGGACATGAATATGATGTTTAAATATTTTTTTGTTGCTTATGGTGCTGCTATAAGGGGTTTGTAAACATGAGAAGGTGTTTGCTGTGATGGTTGCTTTCTAACGGGAAAGTATGGAGGTACATTGTTGGTGGCCACTGCACAGGACAGCGAGAATCACACATATCCTGTTGTATGGTGTGTGGTTGACTCTGATGACGAGTCGTGGACTTGGTTTTTTCAGCAGTTACGTACGATAGTGCCTGACAGTGACGATTTGTGCATAATATCCGATAGGCACAACTCTATAAAAAGGGGATTGCCACTATTTCCATCAAGCACATCACGGATTCTGTAGGAGGCACC